TTCTGATCCCAGCTGCTTCACACTCGGCTGCAAACCTCTCCAGTGAAAGCCAGAGATCACATTCTGATGAAGCCAGCAGGACCACATCATCTGCAAAAAGCAGAGACCCGATCACCTGGCCACCAAAACGGACCCCCCACCACCCCCCACCCCCCCCACCCCCCCACACACACACACCTTGGCTGCGCCTAGAAATCCCATCCATAAAAATTATGAACTAAATTTGAATAGATATCGATTAGGTACTCCTGGAGTACCCCCCACAGGGCCCCTTGAGGGACGTGGTCGAACGCCTTCTCCAAATCTACAAAACACATGTAGATTGGATGGGCGAACTCCCATGCACCCTGTGCTAATAAACAGGGAGCATTGCATTGACCGCAACACATGCTGGGAAGCTGGTCGCTGTGATACATTTTTTTTAAATCCTTTATTAACAACTTTCAAACAAACAATCAAACAATTATTTGAAATATATTTACATACATTACTGCTTTGTCTAAAACATACAGAGCATCAATTAATCATTCTAAAATTAACTATTTCATTTAAAAGTACATATTTTCACAAATGGCGTTTAATCTTTTTCTCAAACAGAAATGGATTGTGGGTAATACACTTCAGCCAAGTTTGCATTGATGCAGACTTGGCTGGCTGAAGTGTGGATCATGGGTGCAAAAAGGGGTGTGATCAACTTCTGCACTTGAGAATCGGGACACCCTACGCTCTCGCACCCCTGGCCAGGATTGCACAATTGAAGGGCGCAAGTGTGGAAGTATTGGGATCGGGCCTGTGAGTCAGAATCAGTGTGTGTGTGTGTGTGTGTGTGTGTGTGTGTGTGTGTGTGTGTGTGTGTGTGTGTGTGTGTGTGTGTGTGTGTGTGTGTGTGTGTGTGTGTGTGTGTGTGTGTGTGTGTGTGTGTGTGTGTGTGTGTGTGTGTGCGTGCATGTGTGTGTGTGTCTTTTTACTGAAAAATGTTGTATGCATGCATACTACTACTACTACTTTTTCTGTTTATTGAGATACGTTTGCTCCCTTATTTTCCTTTAACCCTCGTAGCTGAAGCAAGTAACATGATTTCTCTTCCTATAATGGGACCTGTCCAGGAGTGTTACACATTAAGGTTGCAAGATAGAAGCAGTTTAAATAAGCTCTGAAGAAGACAGAACCTGTCGAAACGTTAGCTCTGTTTGTTTGCACCTATTAAAGTACTCAGGACCAGTTTGCTCCAGCCATTCTGTCTCCTCTACATCTGATGCCCCTCTGGATGACGTGCGACGTGCTCGATTACTGAGTTTAAATAAGCTGTTTGAACAAAACAGTAAAGTTTGAGGACCTGAACCTCGTTGACAAGAGCCAAATCATATCAGATAAATATATATATTTTTGTAATGGTTACATGATGATGAGTCTGAGGTGTTTCTTCTGTAGCTAATGAAATATTCACATACCTTTCCTGGAAGCTCTTCTTTAACAAATCTGTATGAGTTGGTAGCATTATCCTCCTGCTCTATCTTTCTACCACACATCTTTTCCAGAATGGCCTGTATTTTGGGTGTGTTTCTAAAGTGTGTATATACATAGTCTCACCAAGCCACCAACCAGCATAACCACAGTCCCAGAAGCCTTCAGGGAATTCTGCATGTGGCAGATATAAAGAGAGGCTGGTTAAGGAAGTCTAAAAATAACTTGCAGGCTGGTGAAATGCTATTTTTGCCATCCAGCACTGGGGCAGCTCACGGTGGAGTGTGGAATGGCCAGGGGGAGCGTTAGCTACTCTAAGTCTGAGGCCATGGCTCTCAACCAGAAGAAGACAGAATGCTCTGGGTTGAGATTGAGTCTCGGTCAAAAGAATAGAATAGAATAGAATAGAATAGAATAGAATAGAATAGAATAGAATAGAATAGAAATATCCTTTATTATCACACTTTGGAGAAATTCAGGTGTATCAGCATTCAGCAGTAAGTGATGGTTAATACACCAGTGCACACAAAGGTAAAATAAACTAAATAAAAACTCTAAAATAAAAATAATTAATTGCACATTTGTGCATTACAAACACATATACAGTATTTATACTGGTGTCTTGTTCAGGGTGGGGTGTGGCTCTGGTGTCTTGCAGTGTAGATGGAGCTGAGCTTTGGTCATTAGCTCCCCTAAAGTGACAGAGCACAGTTTTAGAGATCATGTCAGGAGCTCTGTCATCCTGCTGCTCCTCCACATCAAAAGAAGTCTTTGGACATCTGAGCTATACATCAAGCCACCTCTCTCTGAAGGTTTAATGATGTGACCTGGTGAGACGATGAGGCCCTCAGGGATGGGAGTGCCTTGGGAGGGTTACTTAGTAAATGGTCTGATTTGATAAAACACTATCTAGAGTCCTAGAACCTTCCAAGGTGCTTTGAAACACAATTGGTCATTCACCCACGCACACACACATTCGCTCCCTAGTGGTGATGAGCTTCATTTTGGCCCCGGCTGCCCTGGGGAACACTGACAGAGGGTCTGAGACATGGAAAATCTAAATAAATCACGCTTATATCAGCAGTTGTTTACACAAAGTCTTGTTCATGCACACAGCTACCAACAAGGAATCAACACAAAAATGCTGAAAAAGTTCAATCTCTCTCTCTCTCTCTCTCTCTCTCTCTCTCTCTCTCTCTCTCTCTCTCTCTCTCTCTCTCTCTCTCTCTCTCTCCCTCCCTCCCTCCCTCCCTCCCTCCCAGTTTTTAGTGGCAGGGACCAAGAAAATATCCTCCTCTGTCCTCTGAAGCAAGTTGCCTGGTGTTGTTTTAGTCAGAACTCTCAGCAGCCATCACCAAAGATAGACATAGATGACATGGTCCATTTTGCTCCCATGCCCCTTTCACATCCCAGTTACATAAACCCCATGTCCTCCAAGTAACCCCTCCATTCCTGGCTGAGCAGATATCACACCGAGTTTTATCCTGTTCTTACTGCTATTAGAGATGGCTGACTAGAACCCAAAGCTAGGCTTGATTAAATCAATATACTCTTCCATTCTCTATTAAATAGCATCTGAAGACTGCGGCTCAAAGGCTGAAGCTAGCCTCCAGGCTGAAAGACTTAGCTGAGTCTTCCAGGTGTCAGATCTTACAGCATCTCACCACTAAGGAATACGTGCTTGCTATGCCACAATGTCCTTTGACTAAACTTTTAAGCAGCCAGAGGAAGAAAAGGACCAATTGAGACTGATCTATAGCTACGTTTTCATAGGCAAAAGTAATTGATCTATCAGATCAAAAATCCTTAATGTAAACATGTAAGTCGGAATATTTTCATCCGATTCGGCCAAACTGAGAGAGGTGGTTTTGTCTGATCATCATTCCAATGGGCGTCCATCTGATTGTTGCCCAGTGGACATGTGTGCAACTCCAGCAAGACGTATTTCCGCCTTTGCATAAACTCGGAACAAGCCGAAAGCATGGCAGGAGGGACAAGAAGTGGTCCATAATGGGTTAAGGTTAGCTAGAAAATAAGAAAATAAAATGTGAGGGGAAAGACGTGCAGACAAGATGGTGTTAATTTACAAGTTTTTTTCCAGGAAGGACAACTCTGCACATAGGGGAAATTTGGCCCATGTAAAGTTAAAGTTAAAGTCCCATCAGTTGTCACACACACTGAAGTGTGTGCGAAATTTGTTCTCCGCATTTGACCCATCCCCTGGGGGAGCGGTGAGCTGCAGACACAGCCGCGCTCGGGAACCATTTGGTGGTTGTGAGGGATTTATCTCCTCACTAATAGTTATGTCTCTTGTTTCTGTTTACTCCTGTATTTTTGTGTGTTTTAGGTCAAATACACTTGGTAATCTATAGATTACTTTAAGTTAAGTTGATCTACTGGTGTTCATCACTCCCTTCTTTCTGAGGTCATTTGTTTAAGTGTTGCCATGGAAGCGCGCCCATAGGCAGCCATGATCAGTTCCTGGTGTGCTTAATCAGCTCTACTGAGGGAGAAACTAACTGACTGAAGAGAAGGGGGGAGAGGAGGTTATCTTGTGTTTGTTTACGTGTAGTTGTTCTTGTTTTTGTTATTTTGAGTTAAGGTAGGAGGTAAATATGTAAATAGATTGTTTGACATATTTTGTTGATGTTGAGATGTACTTTATTGATTGCAGGATTTCAAGCTAATTGTTTCCCCTGCCCATGTCATAATGGCTGGTCCCAAGTTAGCTTTAAAAAGGGTGGATTCAGTACTGTTGTGGTGGTTGATTGCTTGTTAAGGGGAATCCATGCCCCAATGTCATGGATTGTTTGCAATCAAAAAAAGGATAAAAAGTCAGAGCTCTGCAACATCCTGGACTCTTGTTTTTTTCTTCTGTGGACAAACCGCTGGTAACATCCTGAGTGAGTGACAAGGCAGAGGCTCTGTCTGGGCCAAAACCTTACAGTTGGTGTCAAGAGTGGGATGTGGCGCTGATCATGGGTCCAAAGCAGCAGTCAAAGAGCAGCAAGGCTGTTGAGGCGGAAGCGGTGGAGGAGATGGAGCAGGAAATGGCTACGGGGCGGCCGGCCGTAGCTACGTTCACCGGAGAGGTGTCCCCACCTTCAGCGGATATGAGCTCTATTGTTGCCATGCTGCAGAAATGCCTACAGTCCCAAAGTGAGTTCGCTGACAGATGGGAAAAGGAAGCAATCAAGCAGGAAAGGAGATGGAGTCAAGTTCAAGTTCAAGTTAATAACCTCCGAGATGACCTGGACGGGCAGCGGGGAAGTGAACATGATCCTCAGCCAGGCCCTTCGTCTCGGTCAGAGGGGGGCTCGAGCCCCTCACCGCCAGATGACGAACCCTCCGGTGGTGTGCCAGCAGCGAGAGGATGGTCTCAGCCGGCGGTGCCAAAGCTGGAGGAGGGGGATGATATTGAACAATATCTGACGACCTTTGAATGATTAGCAACGGCATACCTGTGGCCAGAAAGGGACTGGGCAGTGAGGCTGGTACCACATCTTACAGGAAAAGCCCGGGCAGCATATGTGGCCATGGCTTCAGAGGACTCTTCTGAATATATCAGAGTGAAAGAAGCCATCTTGACAAAGTATGAGATAAATGAGGAAGTATACCGACAATGGTTCCGAGAGCCTGATGTACGTGGAAGCGAGACGCCTCAGGAGTTCTATAATCGTTTGAAAGATCTTTATGTCAAGTGGATGCACCCTGAAAGGAGAAGAAAGAAAGAGATTGGTGAAATCCTCATCCTGGAACAGTTCTATCGTTCTCTTTCACCTGAAATCAGGGTGTGGGTTAAAGAGAGAAATCCAACTTCAGCTCGGAATGCAGCAGACTTGGTGGAGAACTACCTGGCTGCACGCCGGGGACCAAAGACCTTCAGGTTTAGCCTTCAACAGAAGTCCAGTCCTTCACAGAGTAAGTCTGGGGGGTCTGGTGTGGGTGGTGGTCCAGGGCAGATGGCAGGTAGGGAGAAACAACGAGAGGCAAGTGTTCCCTTTAATAAAACTACGCTACCAGCAAAACCTGTGGTTTGTTATGTTTGTGGTCAAGTAGGACATATAAAACCTGACTGTCCTTTAAGGAGAGCTAAATCTGCATATTTCTGCACAGTGCCACGGCCAGCTTTTGCACAAAATCTGCAGCAGGGGAGAAAACAGCTGCTGGAAATTAAAGTGGATAGAAAACCAGCAACTGCCTTGTTAGATACAGGAAGTGTTCAGACGTTGGTTCATCCTTCCCTTTTGACCAACCAGCCCTACTTTGAAGGCCCTGGCCTCAATATCTCCTGTGTTCATGGGGATCATAAAACTTACCCCACAGCTGTCGTGTTTTTGGAGGTTGTCAACCAAACTTTTCTCCTAAGTGTGGGTGTAGTGGCAGGTTTAGCCCATCAGGTAATTTTGGGGCAGGACATTCCCATCTTACAGGAGTTGGTTCAATCATGTAAACCCGTGTATGTTGTAACCAGATCACAAAGTAGAAATCAAACTTTAGCTGATGAGGATGGTTCGGAATCTGAACGCATTGGGGACAAGATGGGACCAGACCAGCAATGCGGTTCTGGGAGTGATGGTGAGCAACATTCTTTGCGTGAACTGCCGTTCTTTAAATCTGAGCTCCCTACAGAGCACCCTGTTAAGGCTAGGAAGAGCAAAAAGCAAAGGCGGCTACTTAAAATGGCTGGTACTGTTAAACACACATCTCTGGGGTTTCCGAAAGTTGATGTGGGTGGGGTGGATGAACCAGTGGACTTCAAGCAGTTGCAAAAGCAGGATGAATCACTACACAGTTTTTTTGAACAGGCAGTATCAATCACAGAGAAGGATAATGCACATCCCAATGGGGAAGGATACGTTCTTACAGACGGGGTGCTTTTTCACAAATCTAGAGGAACAGGGTCAGAGAAACTAGTGGTACCTAAAATGCTTAGGGAACAGGTTTTAAAGCTGGGGCACAGTATTCCATGGGCAGGGCACTTGGGTTTCAAGAAGACTTTTGATAGAATCTCAAATAGGTTTTACTGGCCAGGCATTCAGAAGGAGGTGCAGCAGTATTGCCAGTCATGTCCAGTGTGCCAGATGTCAGGAGGAAAGAATGTTCCCAAGTATCCCCTGCAACCCCTGCCTATTATTGATGTCCCCTTTAAAAAAATAGGTATGGACATTGTAGGACCCCTTGAGAGAACCCAAGCAGGGAATCGCTTTATCCTGGTTATATGTGACTATAGCACGCGTTACCCTGAAGCTTTTCCTCTTAGGAACATCACTGCTAAACAGGTAGCCTATGCGTTGCTCCAACTGTTTTCTAGGGTGGGAATCCCAGCAGAAATCTTAACTGACCAAGGTACTAACTTTTTGTCCAACACACTGAAGCAAGTCTATAGACTGTTAGGCATTAAGGGTATTCGGACCACCCCCTACCACCCCCAGACTGATGGTCTAGTGGAACGTTATAACAGGACCTTAAAGAGCATGTTAAAGAAGTTCATTTCCATCAGTGGGAAAGACTGGGACAAGTGGTTGCCCTATTTGCTTTTTGCATACCGGGAAGTCCCTCAGGCTTCCACTGGGTTTTCACCATTTGAACTTCTCTATGGCAGGCAGCTAAGGGGTCCTCTGGACATCCTTCAGGAGTCATGGGTTGGGCCAAGGGGTGAGCCGACTAATGTTGTCAGTCATGTTTTGAAAATGAGGGAGAAGATGGAGGAAGCAACCAACCTTGTGAGGAACCAACTGGAAAGGGTGCAACAGCAACAACAAACCTGGTATGACAAGACAGCCAGGCAGAGAGTCTTCAACCCAGGTCAGAAGGTTCTTTTACTACTTCCTACATCAAAAGATTCCCCACATTAACCCCCCAATCCAATAATGCTGAGTGTCAAGCAGGGAGGCATTGGGTCCCATTTTTTTCTAAGTCTTTGGTATGACCCGACCAGGAATTGAACCCTGATCTCCCAGTCTCAGGGCGGACACTCTACCACTAGGCCACTGAGCTGGTTTTACTAGGCCACTGAGCTGGTTTTGTCACCATTGCTTTTGTACCTTTTCTCACTTTGATGTCTTTACCTTACAGCATCTTATAGGCTGACAAAAATGTTTGATTTCACTTCCATGAAGAGTGTTCTGAATTGCCTCACCCTTCACCTAGGACCAATTTGCCATTGGTGACTCTACCAAGGGCACAAAGTGCCCCAGACAACATAGCTCCTAGGATCCTTAAGGCACTCAAACTCCTCCACCACAATAAGGTGGCGGTTCATGGAGGACTTACAGTATACTGCATAATTCTAGAAGTGTTTCATTTTATTCATGGTTTTTGGGGGTCCAAGGTGACAATACTAGCTTACTGCCTATGTGTATATACATGTAGCATCCTGTCCGCACATTGGTCAGCTGCTAGCTGCTAGCTGAGCTGCTACTGAAGTTACAGTTCGGTGCTGCATGTCAGCTGTCACACTGCTGTCACACTCCACGCTCAACTCTCGCCTAAACACGGTTTTAATTGTTTACTACGCCTTTTTATTTTATTTTCCTTTTAATCTCTTTTTTAAAGAAGACTGGTTTTAACCGATTTTAGCCCAAGAAAGCTTTTAAGGACCTTCTTTTATCTGGCACATTTTAACTGGAGTTCGGACTGCTTTTTACCTCACAATGGCTCCACTCACCTGCAGTCCTGGGTGTGATGGATGCTACAAACTTTCTCAGAAGGGTTTGGAGCTTGAGCAGAGGATCTCCATGCTACATCAGATCCAGGACCACGAGTGGGACGTGGATATCATCTTTGGCCATACACTCGCCGCCGCTGATGGCGCTCAATTGGCGGATACCATCCCGTACCAGCCCGGCGGGGCTGTGGAGGGTGGCCCTACCGCTGGTTGTCCAAGCGGCCTTGGGGCACCGGAGGCCCGCGAAATAACAACTGCGGAGGAGGCAGAAGGGGCGCGCTGGCTCCAGCAGGGAGCCAAGCCGAAATTCCCCCGTTGCTCCACTCCAACGCTCCAGGGTGCCTGGTCGACGGTTGGCCGCGGTGGGGGAGCCCGGAGCTCCAGCCATCGATCTGCTCCATTTGGCCTCCCACTCACCAACCGTTTTGTGCTACTGGAGAAGGACTTCCCTCCGCTGATGACCTCTGGGCCCCGTAGCTCCACGGTACCATCCTCCGATTCCATCGAGCCGCCGCGGGAGCAGTTGTCGGACGCCGACGGCCATCCACGTCCCGCCTAGCCCTGGGCTGCAGCCCGAGCACGACGAGGAGTTGCCACCTTCACCCCAAACCCACGGAGGGAGCTCTTGGCCCAGGGGAACCGCTGCAGTCTCGGGGAACCGCTGAACAACATCCATCAGGTCCCGGACGGATCCTCTGCTCCAGCCGACCCGCCATCAAGGACCCTCATCATTGGAGACTCAATCATCAAACACGTCAGGATGAGTGGAGCCGTCACTCACAGTTTTCCCGGAGCGAAAGTCATGGACATTGCCAAACGGATCCCAGACCTCATCCACAATCACCCAACAGTGAGTAAAATTATAATCCACGCCGACACCAATTACACCCGCATGCAGCAGTCTGAACTCCTCAAGCGTGATTTTACCTATCTTTTTAGCCTTTTAAAAACCACCCGTCTGTGTGTTTTTATCTCTGGCCCCATCCCCACGGTTGATAGAGGAATTGGACGTTTTAGCCGAATATTATCTTTGAACACGTGGCTTTCTTCAGTCACTGTGCAGCACAACATTGCTTTTATTGATAATTTTAACATTTTTTGGGGCAGGAAGCATCTGTTTGGGCCTGATGGACTCCATCTAAATAGACAGGGTACCTACACACTTAAAATGAGCCTGGCCTGCCCACGGTCACCTTTACCCACCACACCACCCCCAGCTGCCCCCACGCCCCAACCTCCTCCCCCCACATCATCATGTCCCACTGGTCCAGGATCCTATGAACCCAGTTATGATTTTAACAGTAACCCACATATCGGACTTGGACCCTTGCACACCTCTCACATACCTGCCATCAGCAGAGAGCGATCACATAAACACAAAAACTAACCAGTCTAATCTTAATAATCTTAAACAGTTGTCAAGAATCTCACCCCCAGTAAATCACACAGTCACTCAATCTTTAGCTACTATCAATGTGGCTCTTTTAAATGTTCGCTCTCTGCTGAACAAAACTTTTATTATAAATGACCTAATTTTAGATAATCACCTTAAATGTGTATTTTTGACAGAAACATGGTTGAGTTCAGATGCTCCTGCTGTTCTCACAGAGGCCTCCCCACCAAACTTTAATTTTACTTATTCAATAAGAAATGGGAAAAAGGGAGGCGGAACTGCTTTTATAAGCTCTTCTACACTTTCCGCAAAACCTGTTTTATTTGACAACTTCACCACTTTCGAATATAGTGCAGCCATTTTTAGCGATCTTCAGATTTTATGTGTTTCTGTTTATAGGCCTCCGAGGCACAGTGCACTTTTTATACAGGAATATTCCAAGTTTTTATCAATTCTGCACAACTCTTTTGATAGTATTATTTTAGCTGGTGATTTTAATTTACACAGCAACCCTGCAGACCATTTTACCACTGAATTTTTAAACATTTTGAGTTATATGGATTTTACACAACATGTTGCACAACCAACCCACGACAGAGGACACACCCTGGACTTGGTCATCAGGTACGGTCTGTCCACCGGTGTGTCCTCTGTCGTGGATTTAGCGATCTCAGATCATTTCTGTGTGTTTTTTAACATCACCAGCATAATTCAGCAGGAGACCACTGTGAAAACTGTAATGAAACACCATCTAACCCCTGAAGTGGCTGCTGGTTTTCTGGAAACTTTTAAAAAGATCCCTCCTATTAATTTAAATGCCCCCTGTGATTTTATCTTCAGTGATTTTAACAGTAGACTTAAATCTACTCTGGATTTGCTCGCTCCACCTAAGATTAAAAAGCTACAGCCAAAACCGGCTTCCCCTTGGAGCAATGAAAACTTAAAAATGTTGAAAAGATCTTGCAGGGCGGCGGAGAGAAAATGGAGGAAATATAAGAACACAATTAATAAACAAATATACACTGAATTGTTAAAATCATACAACAAAGCTGTTAGAAATTCCAGAAATAATTACTTTTCTAAAAGCATCTCTGAACACAAAAATAATCCCAAAATTCTGTTTTCCACAATTACAAATATTTTGGGTCTGAATTTAGTTCTCTCCAGAAAACCCCTCAGATGCTCTCTGTGAGGAGTTTGCAGCCCACTTCAGAGGGAAGGTAGACACCATCAGATGTAACATTTTATCCTCCCAATGTCATGCTGCTCCCGATCAATCTGAGAGTGTGTGTCTACCTGAGGAAACACTGGACAGTTTTGTCTTGGTTGAAGCTGAGATTATTGATAAAGTTTTCTCCTCAGTGAGGCCCACCACATGTGTTCTGGACCCTATTCCCACAAGGTTTTTAAACAATTTTATGACTCTTTTAGAGATGAGATTTTAACTTTGATTAACTGTTCCCTTCAGACGGGGGTCTTTCCTGCTGCTTTTAAATGGGCAGTGGTCAGACCCCTGTTGAAGAAGAGCAATTTAGATTTTAATGACTTTAACAATTTTCGACCGGTATCCGACTTACCATTTTTAAGCAAAATTTTAGAGAAGCTTGTTTTAATACAACTTAATGATTTTATCAACCACTAAAATGTCCTAGAGAAATTTCAGTCTGGTTTGAGGGTGAACCACAGCACTGAGACGGCCCTTCTGAAGATTTTAAATTTCTTTAGAACAAATTATGATGCCCGGAGGGCAACAGTGTTGGTTCTGCTGGATCTAAGCGCTGCCTAGACCACACTATTCTTTTAACCCGTTTAAAACAGATTGGCCTCTCTGGTGCTTTCACAGTTGGTTCACTTCCTACCTCACAGACAGGACTTTTATGGTGAGTTTGGATACCTGTTCCTCTGGGGTCCACAGCATCACATGTGGTGTGCCTCAGGGTTCAATTCTAGGCCCAGTGCTTTTTAAACTCTATATGCTCCCTTTGGGCAGCGTCATCAGGAGACATGGGGTGAATTTCCACAGTTACGCTGACGATACACAGTTGTACATCTCCGTGTCTCCTGATGACGCACAGCCAATGGAAACACTTTTTAACTGCATTTTAGATATTAAATCATGGATGACTGAAAACTTTCTCCAGCTCAACCAAGGCAAAACTGAAGTTTTAGTCATCGGTCCTGAGGCCCAGAGAGAGAAACTTTTACCTAAACTACAATCAGTGTATTTTTATCCATCACTGCAAGTGAAGAATCTGGGTGTTATTTTCGACTCTGAGCTGACTTTTATTCCCCACATTAAAAACATCACAAAAATAGGTTTTTACCATCTTAAGAATATCGCCAGAGTCCGCCCCATTCTCTCTCGGGCCAATACGGAGACGCTAATGCATGCTTTTATAACTAGTAGAATTGATTACTGCAGAGGTGGAAAGTAACAAATTACATTTACTCACGTTACTGTAATTGAGTAGCTTTTTTGTAAATTTATACTTTTTAAGTCGTTTTTAAAATCTGTACTTTTACTTTTACTTGAGTAAGTTTTTAAAAAAGAATTGTAATTCGCTACATTTTAAATCATATCCGTTACTGAGTAAAAATAAATTGTGTGCTTAATAAATTAAAAATATTACGTGTAGCAGCATCGGAACAGAAAGAGACACCTGCATGAGCGCCACGTCTAAACCGCGCGGGGGTGGGGGGGTGGGGGGGTGGGGGCTACACGATTTATGATGAGGACAAACCGCCATTTTTACCGCAGTTTTGCTCAAAAACATCAGTTCAGTTCCTGTGATCCACTCGCTGTTTACCTCCTCTCTCCCTCCTCTCCTGTGGGTTGGAACCCGCACCTTCGCGCACCGGTGTGACGTCATCAGAATTCTGCTCGGTTCGGCAACCAGACTCGGTTCCGTGTTTGAAATGTGTTTCCTTACCACGCACGGAAGCGGCAAAATTACGTTTAGCGCTCCTAAGAAGCCAATTATCAGTGCTCTGCTCATAAAACAGAAGA